GAATTTTATTCTTACCCTTTTTTTAGCTTCTTGAATTTAGGTTATTGGTTTTATTTATTTTCCAGTAAAGATAAATAGTATCTAAGGCAGTGATCCGGGGTCACTTCCATGTAATTTTGTGAGTCCCCTCTAATCAGTGATCCTTCTCCTCATCTCAGAGGCTGCGCACCTGGGAGAAGGCAGCAGCCTGTGCTCGCCTGATCCTGGGACACGAGCGGCTGCGTTCCAACAGACACTGTGTCCAGCCCCCCCCAGGCTGGGGGCACGCACGGGCCTCGTCTGAAAGGTTGACTGCTCTGTCCTGGCACCCAGCCAGTGCTTAGTATTTAAACATTTTGAGAAAACAATATGCTTTCCAGAATTTTATTTAAAAAGTTGAATAGGCCCTGAAAGTTTTCAAGCTTCTGAGCTCAGGCTATAATTCTGTGTCCACTTGGTTTTAATTACACTTTCATCTGCTCTTCAGTCATGGCAGCCAGAGAGAGGGCACTGCGTTTCCTTCTCCCAGCAGCCTGCCCACCTGCTGGGTGAGCGAGCCCTTTGTTTGAAGCACGGGCTCAGGCGGGCTATAGGTGTCCTGTGTGTATCACGGAAAACCCAGGCCTTTTCATTAAAGTCCCCCCTGAGAATATATGACCTAAAAACAGTTGGTACTTTCTCATGGACAAGTTTAACACATTCGGAGTTCACATAGGATATGGGTTTTGAACGCGTATTATTTTGCTTGTACATCAATAAAGAAAACTAATCTAGAAGGTTCTCCACACTCCAGAAGCCCTAGATTCTAAGACTCCATGATTCCAGTTTGCAGCCTGGCTTATTGAGAAGTCATAGCATGGCGTGTGACATTCAAAGAAAGGAGGCGTTCAATAATGTGCAGGGAGGTTTGAGGCCGGGCAAGGTTCCTTCCAGCAGGGCGCATGCTGCTTGGCGTGTGGTGGACAGGCTACTAGTAAAAGCTGTGGAGTCCTAACCTATCTGAGGAATCAGGCATGCTACAGGTGCTTTCTGTGCTCACTTCATTCTGAGGGAAGGATAAGTCTTTTCAGGTGAAACAAAATAAATGAGAGCAATCCAAGGTGCTTAGTCTAATCTATAATAATAAAAGCGTAATATGCTAATTAGACCGGACAGCTGGATGACCTTCCAGACAGGCCTCCTTTCCGACGAAGCCACGGTGGCGGGGGCCAAGGCAGAGGTGGTTAGGGGCAATCAGGCAGGTAGGCGAGCAATTAGGGGCGATCAGGCAGGCAGGCGAGTGGTTAGGGGCGATCAGGCAGGAAGGCAGAGTGGTTAGGGGCGAGGCAGGCAGGCAAGCGGTTAGGAGTGAGGGGTCCCGGATTATGAGAGGGTGCAGGCAGGGCTGAGGCATGCACCAGGCCTCTAGTGTCACATAAACATGCATTACCATTGGTGCCAGGAGATGGGTCAAAATCACCCTTAAAACCATTCTCCCTGAGAGAGGTTTCCTAAGAAGGAGGAACATAAGTGTTAGCTCAAGTAAAATTTAAAATTAAACATGCAAATAAGGACACTTTTCAATCAAAACATATTGCTGGTAGTCAGATTATACCATTGTCAGTGTCAGCAATTCTTCCTGTAATATATGAGATTAAAGATGAGATACAGACTAAAGACTTAGATGATAAGCAAGGACACAGTGTTACCAGTGGTGATGCGCAGTCGGAGGAGGGAAGGAGACAGTAGTGTAGACCATGCATGTCAAACTCAAAGGCTAACGGGCCAAATAAACAAGGTTTAAGTTTATGTGGGCCGCAAAAAAATAAAAGCTTCAATTTTCATAGAAACATAGGTTTATTTCAATAGAGACGTGTTGAATACAAAGGGCTGAAATAAATGATTCATCGTTAACATAAAATAACTGAACATTTTTATAAAAATTAATATTTTTTCTTGAACATTAACTTACCAGACACTGAATAACTGCACAAATTAATAAGCATAATGGAAATAAACCTATTTTTCTTGTTCTCCGAAAGCGAAATATTTCCTGTTG